TGCAACAGTGCACACAAAAGTAACACCACTTTAGGGAGACTGCAACAGTGCACACAAAAGTAACACCACTTTAGGGAGACTGCAACAGTGCACACAAAAGTAACACCACTTTAGGGAGACTGCAACAGTGCACACAACAGTAACACCACTTTAGGGAAACTGCAACAGCACACACAATAGTAACACCACTTTAGGGAGACTGCAACAGTGCACACAAAAGTAACACCACTTTAGGGAGACTGCAACAGTGCACACTATAGTAACACCACTTAAGGGAGACTGCAACAGTGCACACAATAGTAACACCACTTTAGGGAGACTGCAACAGTGCACACTATAGTAACACCACTTAAGGGAGACTGCAACAGTGCACACAATAGTAACACCACTTTAGGGAGACTGCAACAGTCCACACAATAGTAACACCACTTTAGGGAGACTGCAACAGTGCACACTATAGTAACACCACTTTATGGAGACTGCAACAGTGCACACAACAGTAACACCACTTTATGGAGACTGCAACAGCACACACAACAGTAGCACTATCGTAAGGAGACTTCAACAGTGCACACAACACCATCACTTTACACTTCCCGTGATACGGCGCTTGGCTGGTAACTCCGCTGTCATGAGCTAGAGTACCTACGAGAGGGTGCACACTACGCAATTTTTTGCGTGTTGGCTTTTACACAGGCGAAAGATAGCCCTCGCCTTTTTAGATATCGAGTAGGTTTCCTCTGGTCTTCGATTACATGATATACCACATATGAAACTAAGAAATTATGCATGAAAATATAAAACGTTATATTTTTAAACACTAAGATACATGCAGGTTTTTGACTTTTCGAAGAAATGGAATATTAGTGCAAGAATACCTACATACCGATTAGATCTCAGGCAGCTTTTGCCAAATTGTCAGGGAATTCAGATTTGTTTTTCAATAGAAAAACACAATTCTAAAGAATAGTGTTTTAACTATTGACAACAAACCTTCGGTTATTTACTCTAGAAAGTTTAAGCCAAATGTTTTCAAAATAGCTAAGTTGTCCGTTTTTTGATTTTACAGTACATAGTCGATATATTTATACTTCCCTGCTAACAAAATTACAAACCTATATCCGTACGTTTTCGACACAGTAAAAAAAAAACACCATCGTGCTCTTGAGCTAAAACCTCACCTCTTTTGTTCACAAAATTTCAGATATGAAATTTTTTGACCTAATAGTGACCTGACCTCAGCTATATTCAGCTGAAAACAGGCGCGTAAACACGACTCTGAAGTTACTGGGGACCACATGCAAGGCCGCGAAGACCAAATATTATGTCTCAGATGTGGGAGGGGGGGGGGTAGGGGTGTAACGTGGGACGTGGGATTCAGATACGTGGGGTGGGTAGAAAATTGTTAAGAATAAAATCTAAAGTGGAATCTGCTTAATAAATCCCCGGATAATAAATCCAGCCGCTTATTGTGGGCGCTTGAGCTATGTTTACGGATTTTTGCGATAGATACCCATAGTTAATAAATCCGCTTAATAAATCCACGTACCCCGCTTAATAAAGCCACTTGGGAGTTTCGAAGTCCGCAGTGACATCTCCCCATTCGAAATGTGGCATCCAGCCCGCTCAAAAAGAACCACACTGGACCAGCGGTCTGCAGCAGTTGGACTTCCCACGACAGAGGGAGTTCAGGAGTATCAAGAGCGCCATCACCATGCACCTCAGAGAAATGTTCCCGGCAAAACAGGCACCCTGAACTGTTTCGTTGACATAACAGGCATGACGGGGATTGATCGTGGATGGGCATATCGACATGACAGCTTTGCAGTGTGCGCTGGTCACTTTCAGGGGCTCCACTACGGTCACAGGTTTGGGGGATGTCCAACCCTAAAACGCACGCCTTCATACATTAGACTGCATTACGGAAGTCAAATTTTGGGGGGTCTGGACCCCCGCGACCCCACCGATGTGGTGGAGCCCGTGGCCACTTTCATTGGTATAAGCGAGACAATGAGGAATGTTAGCCTGTACGCTTGTATTTCAGGGGAACGGAACGTGCAGCTGCAATACATGCTTGATGAAAATAACTGACTCCGGTTAGTGAAGCCACCGCTTAATAAATCCAAAACACCTTGCCATCAAGGTGGCCTATTAAGCTGATTCCACTGTATCTAAAAAAAGATTTTAGACCTCGCACTGGCAGGACATTTTTCATAATGCTGCGTGGTGTGTGAATTGTAGAATACCTAAATTGTTACGCATTAAAAAATAAAAATAACGCAGCTTGGCAAGCGGGAGGTGTATGCGACCCCCTGTCGTTTCGAAACTGAGCGTCGCAGCGCTTCGCAATAAAGACCAGTCGAACGCTCGCAACAATGGCGATTGGTTGCATATTTTTTACCCTAGGTCAATATTTGACCCAGATATGGCAGGTCAAAGGTCAAATTCCCGGGAAAAGCTATAATTTTCCAAATAACTTGGCTAGTATTGGCAATTCTATGAAAGATAGCCACATGGAACTCTCACGACCATGTTTCTCAACGAATTAGCAATAAAATGATACATAGCCGACTGCATTTCAGTCATTGCTGGCAAAAAGACACCCCGCTGACTCCTGAGTCACTTAGTGCCCAAGGGGCCATTGAGAATCAACGTCGGCTCACTTGGCATTAACCCGCGCCCTGATGGGGGGGCCATTTTGGCCCCCCCTGTGGTTTTTCTTAAATAGCGAGAAAACGGCGGCGCGCAGCGCCGCGAAATGTTGGGTGCCTTACCGGGCATCAATTTGACACCTTCACACAAAATTTCAAGTCACAGGTCACCTCAGGTCAGGAGTTATTGAGGTCAAACTGAGGTCATGTTCGAGTAAAAATGAGCAAAAAACATGACATCTTGAAACGCTCACCAATTCTACAGTTAACAAGCAATTTTAAAGTTCTTTATGTGGTTGTGTAGAGAAAAGTCGGCGCTAAAAACTGCTATCTCGGATTTTCGAAATTTTGGGATTTTGACCCCCAAAAATAAAAAAAATTGATTTTTTTAGAAAAACTCGAAAAATTTCCCAAACTTTTTCGAATTTCGAAAAAACCGGAATATATGTGATAGTCCCTGCGCTCTTCGATATATATACCAAATTTTAGATCGATACCTCTTTTTTTTGGCCAAGTTATAGCGAAAAAACTGTTAAAAATTGATGACGTCAAATTTTTGAACTCAATTTTTAGCAGTTCTAGAGCTCGTAGCGCAAAACGGAGACCACCATTGAACTCCCCGTGACGAGCTGCATCGAATCAATACCCATCTTATGCAAAAATATCAACTTTGAAATTTGACCTAATTTGACCTGACCTTGACCTGACCTTGAACAAAACGTGACCTAAGCTGGCCCTTAAGTCTGTCTGACCCACATAATCGTATTTGTCATGTAAAATGGACCATAAAACATGTATCACACGACACTTTCATATTGTGACCCCCCCAGTGACCTGACCTCTGTGACCTGACCTGGTATCAGTGACCTCAAATAGCAAAATATGTCTTTGAAGAACATTTCCCCATCGATGATTTTCAATGAAATGCAAGTTACACGATTTTACAACGCATTTCTTGAAATGCCTGTAAACGGTGAAAATTCGACCTTTGACCTGACCTGTGACGTCATCGGTTTGACCGAGGTCAATGAAATTGGGTCACAAGGTAGTTCCCCGTTGGGGCTATCCAACACCGTTTACCGCTTGTCGCTATGTTGCGTGGTTCTCGAGATCTGAGGGGGGGCCAAAATGCCCCCCCATCAGACCACGTTGCTCGGCAGACCCCATCTGGGCGCGGGTTAACGGCCGCTAAGAGGACCCCAAGCGGAACTCAAGGGACCGTCAGTCAGCCTCTGAGCCCCCTCACCTCCCCCTCCCCCTAGCCCTTGCACATACACCTAGCCCTGGGACTTATAGGCCTTTGATACTCTGGTACTGGTTCCCTTCGTTTCATTGTTGTCATCTTCATCTTTTTCTTTATCCTTGTCCCCAGCATTTCCATCTTCATCCCCCTTCTCTTCATCCTCCTCATCATCGTCAACATTGTCGTCATCGTCTTCGCCGTCTTCGTCATCATCTGCATCATCCACCTCTTGAACTAATTATCCTCGTAGTCGTCATCGTCATTACTCTGTCGTCATCATCAGCTTCATCATCCGTCGGTATCTTCAGCGTCTGAGTCATCATCATCATCATCATCATCATCATCATCATCATCATCATCATCATCATCATCATCATCATCATCATCATCATCATCATCATCATCATCGTCGTCGTCATCATCATCATCATCCAGTCCCATAATACGCCACGGCAGCCAGCGAGAGCACCAAGGCAGAGCCCGAGTGCCCACGCCGGTGACCAGTCTTGGTTGCCGGCTGCCCAGTACCGCTTACCTACCGTCATCAGCCATGCACCTGTGCAAAGCACTACCTGCTAACTGCTATATATACCTACCTATATGCCTGTGCAATGTACTTATCAACTAACTGCGCCTGCGGCTACATAACTATACCTACCTACACGAATGCCTAATTCTTACGATCTGCACTGCTGCCCATGGCGCGTGCTGGGTACAGCCTCAGAGGATGACCACGGATTGTGTCTCCTTTAGGGCCCGATCCGACCGCTAACATGAAAATATTTGGTATTGCATGAACAAATGACCATGCTCACATGACGTCTGGGCGCCTATCTCTCAGTCACCACGGTTTTATGCTCCTGGCTTTCATTTCGAGATAAGAAATAGGAGTTTGCATATTTGGATGCTTCAAACCGGAAGACTCGAATGCATTAGACAGAAGCCCTCTCGCCCAAAAAGTGTCTATAGGAAATTAGGAATCCTGCCCACGCCTTCGCATGAGATGATTGTGGGCTAAACCGGGTTTGTTTGGGGATAAGCAGCGGCTCTACATTCGCAGTGTTTTTGCGGTAAAAGTAGCCACTCTAAATCAAACCCTTTTACTAATAACATAAATCTTGCATTTTTTTGTGCATATACAGCACAAGAATGTGGCATTGAATTTTTTCGCTGTAAATAACTTTTAAAATGAATAAAAAACAATATATTATTAAGGTTTTCATCTGTACGAAAACATATAGTACCTGTAGGAAATTATAAATATTCATTTTAAAAATGCTAATCGAGTAAAGTATGAAGTACCAAAAACATTTATTACGATAAAATATTTGGCTAAATTTTACACTATTTAGGCTGAATATCATGAATAGAAATAAAAAAATCGTGTTATCTCACAAGCCGCCGTCGCCATTCACGATGCTGCCTTCGGTCTTCTTGCGCGCTTTGCCGGTGCGGTTCGGTTCCGCCGGGCTTTCACTGCTAAAACCTTGTGTTATTAATTGCACTGCAAGTCAGTTCTATTGCAAAATGGCTCTTCCCAAAGTCTTTTTCGATGTTTCGGCCGACAACAAGCCCCTGGGCCGCATAGTAATGGAGGTAAGAGCTGCTAAAAATAGACTGCGCCGGGTGCCGCCCACGTGGTCGATCTTACGGATAAATTAGACGAAAACATTTCTGACACTTTTTTAACTATTAATTTACTAATAACAATAATTAAAAATCATAAATAAGTATAAACAAAGTACTGTGGTTTTGTTTTTAGCAATCATGATAATACAATAAAGACTTCCATTTTGCGTCTAGCCAGACGAGTCTAAGTCTAAATTTTGCGTCCAGCTAGACGCGTCTAAGTCTAAGACACGTCGAGCTGGCCGGCGGCTGTGTGTATCTGGCAACTGCTAACTTCAGATGCATCTAGCTTGGAAGTCTCTGTCCAAAGTCAGACGCCAGTTGGACGCCAGTGGAAGTCTACACCCTAGGTGTTGAAAGTTGAACACCCTGATCAGTTTGGATGAGTAAAAGGAAAAGGGCAATAAAAATTAGCATGCTGTTGGGCATGATGTGCCCCAGTTGATTTTTCAAAAGGAAATTAGCTAAAAAGCTTGAATGCAGTAGGTAACAGTCCGAGCCCATGCTAAGTAGGTACTTGTTGTGTAGACCTCAAAGCATACCTACTGTCAAATCACAATGCCGGGTAAATAATCTGGACTTATTATGCCCATTGCCCATCAAAGCCAGATACTGCCTGTCTGACTCAACTGACTGCTGCGGCTGCTCCCACAAACTGCTGGCCATCCCCGTCAAGTGAAATACAAAATGCCGGAGCTACTGGAGTGCAGGGCTCTGACCACTGGAAGTCCAATGCTACCAATCCATCTACTGTACAGCCTGGATTGGATAGTTGAAGCTTGAAGGCTGCTCCATCAACTCCTCATTGACGGACATTTAACATCCCCATCCAGAGTACAATAACTTAGTTGGATACCTGAACACCATTAAATCTGTTTCATATTTTTACCATTTTTATATAGCTTTTCTGGATATCACAGATGAATAAAATCTTAGAAAACCACTGTTGAATAAAACACATGACAACCGCTTAGCCGCTATCATACTTGTATGATGTGTAATGTGTATCTGTGGTGCGGGCATGGAAGTATTGTGATGTATGATTTATGACATGTTTATATGTGCATACTTTTGCCATTATTTGAACTATGAATATATCTCCTTTTAGGCTGCAACTTGATTAGGTGTTGTTCAACTTTCAGCATTGCCTTTCCCATTTATATCAATACGTCTATGTAATAATAATTGATTAGGTGTGCTGCACTTGGCCTATTTTTCCTACCTATGTCTTTGTTTTCTGTTGTTTTTGGCCAACAGCTCTAATTTCTCTTTTTTTGTGTCTGCTGAGCACTTGTGATCAAAATATTCTAAATTTTCTTTTCAAACTTCCATCAATCAATTCATTTTGAGGTCAGGTATGCTTGAACTTCTAGCTATAATAAATTTACTCTGGCTGTAGAAGTTTGGTTTGCATTTATTAAGAAATTTGGGTTGATAAACTTTGTGGCATTGCAGCTTGCAACACATGTCTTGTTAAAAAAACTGGCTTAGGAAACCATCAAACAAATTTTCAAAAATCCATATAAAATGACAGCTATGAAAAATCGAGCACTTGAAATTTTCATCATGATAGGTATATAAAACCTAACCACTTTATTTGATATTTTACCTCTCGGTACCAATTGTGCCTAATGATGGTGCAGCTACTTCAAATACCTTTCGCTGCTATAGGCATCACCCAGGAAACCTGAAGAACCTTTTTCTTGAAATAGCACCTAGTCAAAATTTATCCTTTTTGACCTAACCTGTTGAGAGTTGACATTGACCTCAGCTTAACCTGCTCAAATTCACCTAAAATGACAGATTGTACTCTTATGGTGTTCTATGACAAAAACTTTTGAGAAAACACATGTAACATGTCATTTACCTATGTCACTAGCGTGTCCCATAGCTCAGTTGGTAGAGAGTCTGACTCCTGAGTGGTAGTGAGAGGTCAGGCTCCGGAGCTCAATATTTGAGACTCCTGACTGGAGGGCTGTTCACGGGCCCTGTGTGCGGTCGGACCGCACACAGCCTCGAAGCTTCGCCCACTTCGTCCCTACGTCAGCCTTCCGTCACCGCACACAGCGATCGCTGTGGCCGGTCGGGACTGGCCACAGCGGACCGTCCACCGCACGCAGCCGTGACGTCAGAACCGCCTACCCATCCCCTAGGCCTACCCCCACGCCTGCTGAACGCACCGCACACACCGCACGCAGCAGTGTGCGGTGCCCGTGAACACCCCTTGGGATGGTGTTGGTTGGCAGTTGGTGAGAGCACCCACAGTCAGTTGAAGTCAGTTGAGTGGGACAGGCTGTGTCGGACTTTGAAAGGCACATTAAATTTGGCATCTATCTACATTCTCCCGTTACTTGGAATTGCGCGATCGGACGGTAGGAGTCTGGGTCTACGCAACAAGCTCTGCTTAGCGTGCGCTCTGGCTCTGCCAATCCATCAATTCAAACATTTGAGCTAGATTTATGTAAAAAATCAGACCTTCATCACAACGTGAGTAGCACAAGGTGATGGCCCGACGCCTGTGGTATCTCTCCAAGAAGCTAATCGGCCTCTCCCTCATCAACGATGAGATGGCGTTCGAGGAGAAGCAGGCGGTTACCACCTGCATGCAGCAGTGACTGAGGGTGAAGAGCCCGTTTTACCGCGCCGACGTCGCCCTCGACGCAGTGTGGCAGCGCTCGCTGGCGTCGTTTGCGAGCATATTTACGTCTGGACAACGAGTTGCGGGGAAAAGTGCTGATTGTGTTGCAGTTTTAGGAGCCGGTGATTAGGCTGGATTTTTGGGCTACTTTTTCGTTCCGATTCATGTATTTCATAGTGTTTGGCTTTTGAATATTTTAGTTCTTTCAGATAAATATTACTTGCCTTACAACTTTGGTAAAAACGTTTCATTTTTTTTATAAGCGTTCAGAGTCCTAAAAATGCATCAGCACTACAATCATTGTAAACAAACAAATGGAGCACCACTTGGCGCTGTTCCAAGGCCATTTTTTAGTTTATCTGGTGGTTTTCTTGCTCTTGTACGTCGTTTTGTTGGATATTTTTAATCCCTTAAGAATGACTTATATCATATTTAAGAAGCATGTTGACTGAAAACAATCTGAACTCTGAAGTATCCAGGAGGCTGACAGAGGTCCTGACTACTGAGCTATATCAATATCAAGTTGAACAAGTTATGAAATTTTGGTTGATAAACGCAAGTTGATCGGGCTCATATATCAGCAAGAAAAAGTAAAATTAAAAGAGCTTATTGTCCAAAAACAAGCTATAATATTGCAGACCTTGGAGCAATACTGAAGAGCACGCTGAGCAGGATCATGCCAGAAAATGTTGACTGATGAGCGCATATTGATGTATTGGTATGAATATTGAATGATAACTTACAACAGCAAGATAAATTAGTGCTAACTATCAAGTTAAAATCTAGAATGAATGGACTTTGGCAGTTTGTTAGATGCTATGCAGATTGTAATGTGCATCAGGTACTCGTGTCTGGCAAATGAAACATGCGATCATTACATTGCTACTGGAGGAGAAAGCTTGGATCACTAAATCCACTTTATGTTGATTTTGATGTTAATCATCATCACTGTATTTCTTGAAAAAAGGATTGTAGTAAAATTGTCAATGTGACAATCCATGCAACGATATAATCATATGTGTTCATAGTCATTCGTGATAGTCATTATTGGTCCAATATACAATGGCAAAGCTCTCAGTCTCAGCGTTTCTTCCTGTGGATGGCCAGCAGTGACTCAGAGCTTAGAAGTATTAGTTTTCTTCACAGGGCTGGGATAAAAAGTACTGAGGGTAATCTTCCACCAAGGAACTCTACCTACTTTGACATGGTATGAGATGTAGGCACAAGTAGGTAGGTGCTCAGTTCCTATAGTCAGTAGTTGTGTATGTTTAGTCGGGTTAGCTTAGATCAGATTGTTAGTTTTTTAATTTGCCAAATGTCCATAAAAATGTGACCTGAGCAATGAGCATACCTGAACCTGACTAACCTGACAGCTAACCTAACCTCAATCATCACACATATTTGCAGCCTACCCAAGACCTGCAATGGCAGTAGCACCCAGTTATAGGTAGGTACTCACCCTAACTCAATCTTACCTGCTAACCTTCAACTTGCCAAAAGTTAGCTCACATTGCCAAGCTGTGTCCAGGGAAACAGGCAACTGAGGAACTGGCTCATTGGGTGGCTGGTGTGAGTCTGTGCAGTTAAAGTGTTTCTTCTCTGAAGCTGCTCTGCACTGCTGTATGTCATGTTAGATGCTCAGAAAATGTGGGAAATGATTACTAAGCTACTTTAGTGCTTTGTTAATGCTCGAGACATGAACAAGTACAGATCCTGCAGGGTACAGCTATGAGTTAGGTGCTAGGTGAGTATGTTATGTGAATGTGCTGTTCCCTGTTTGACTGTAAGTATACAAACAAGCACAGGGTCACAGTTATATTCAATATCCACATAAACATACAACAAAAACGGCCATATAGCATAACTCCGAACACACCACAGATAACTTAAGCCTTTGAAGGCACAAAAATGTTTTGATTAACAGGACAGGTTTACAATATATCCTCTGTCCTTGGGGGATCTTGCTGCCAAGTTGAGGTATGATGACTGAACTTCAGGATTGATCAACCTTTTCTTAGCCATGCTGCTTATAAACGAGAAAGACCAAATGCTTGTTTGTTTTGATTTACAGGACATGTATACAATATATCCTCTGTCCTTGGGGGATCTTGCTGCCAAGTTGAGGTACGATGACTGAACTTCAGGATTGATCAACCTTTTCTTAGCCACTGCTTATAAACGAGAAAGACCAAATGCTTGTTTGTAAACTGCGTTGAAAATTTAATGATCCTTCAATTCTGAAATGAAGGCACAAATGAAATAGTTCCCTCTCCTTTTGGAATACACAAAGCAAAATATTTAATAAATTTTAGTGGATGGACAAGAGCAATTAGCATAGCTTTCCCTAAGTTAACTTCTGGCACTGTTGATGAATTACACTGACGCTTATTCGCTTCATGTTTTGTAACAAACGCGCTAAAACTGCAATATAACAGCACTATATGCTTCTTGACAAAATGCAAAAGTATTAAAAATTTAGCCCTGATGGCATTCATTCTTGGTGGAAACGTAATTACAAAATATTTTGTAGTAACTATTGAATTCCGGCCGAAAACAGTGCACGGTTTAAAAAAGAATCATTCCAATGACGGTCATTTCTTGCGGTCCTGAAATCGCCACTATTTCCGGCCTCTCCAACGCAACTCGTTGTCCAGACGTAAATATGCCGTTTGCGATGACCAGCTCTGTCGGTCTCGGCACCTCCCTAGGGGCAGGTCACGATTTCCTCAACGTCGATCCGGTCGAGTGGTCGGAAAGAGACGAATTCACCACGGCTTGTCGGCGACCGTCACGTGCGGAAAGTGAACAACTTTGCGGAAAAGTGTTGGACTGTTACCCTCATCAGCGGGTTCTTGCAGCACCACCACACACGGCAAGAAACATTGACACTGCCTCCTTTAAGTCGAGGAGCGTCAGATTAATCAGATAAATCAGATAAAAATAACATCTTGGCGCCTTGCTCGTGCGTTTTACAGCTCGTATTTATCCTCTATCTCTTTTGGTCTACGGCTCAAGTTTATCGTCCACATTGTGCTTTTCAGGTCATTTGCATTGCGTATCGTTTATTTTTGTATCGTTCTCGTGCGTTTTACAGCTCGTTATAACATCCGTCACGGGCGTTCGACAGCTTGTTTGCAACGCCTACCATGCATTCTTCGCTTCCACAGCTTCCTTTACCAACTATTGTGTTTTTTACAGCCCTTTTTTACTCGTTACGTTTTAGTTTTTCAGCTCATCTTCAGCGTTTTTTCAGCTTGTTTTATTTTACATCCGTCTCATCCGTTTTTTGTTTTCAGCTCGTTATTTACCATTGATCTCGTGCGTTTATTACAGCTGAGGTCCGACGTGGTGCCGAAGACGGCAGAGAACTTCCGTGCCCTGTGCACTGGAGAGAAGGGTTTCGGATTCCAGGGCTGCGGCTTCCACCGTGTCATCCCCAACTTCATGTGTCAGGTTAGTGTCAGAGTGTCGGATATGTGTCAGGTTAGTGTCAGAGTGGGCCAAAGTGTGTCATGACGTGTCAAAGTGTGTCAGGTCAGCGTCGGAATGTGTCAGTGTCAGGTGTGTTGTAAGCGTTCAACCTCATCCCCAACTTCATGTGTCAGGTTAGTGTCAGAGTGTCGGATGTGTCAGGTTAGTGTCGTCAGAGTGTGTCAGGACGTGTCAAAGTGTGTCAGGTCAGTGTCGGAATGTGTCAGTGTCAGGTGTGTTTTAAGCGTTCGACCTCATCCCCAACTTCATGTGTCAGGTTAGTGTCGGACGTGTCAGGTGTGTCAGGACGTGTCAGAACCTCAGGTGTGTCAGGATGCGTCATTGTCACGTGGGCAGATGTCATGTGGATGTGAGTGTCAGCGGGTGTCTGGAGATCGTCTGATGTCATTCTTAGGTGCCAGAGGGATATGATAATGTAATGTACTAGGTGACCATAATATGTCACATTGAGTGTTTTTGTTGGTTTTAGGGAAGTGGCAGGTGAAAGCATCGCATGTGAAGTGTCATCCTAATGTGACACAATATTGCAACGTGCCATTTTCCTGTCATAGCTTTCCCTGATTCCTAAGTGTTATTGTCATCTCTCACGTCTCCCCAAAGCCCCACTTTCATCGTTATCTTTTGTCATTGTCCGGCTCGTGCCTATACTAAACGTGTCATGTGTCAGTGTTTTGTGTCTCTAGCCGGATGCTGTCTCTGTTAGGTTCATCTTTCCACGGAGTTAGGAATGTATTTGGTGAGGAATTCCTATCACCAGTTGATATCAATGTCATCCATAACTTTATGTGTAGGATGCCCATGTTCGAGTCTTGATGGTGGATATCTGTGCCTTTACTGGGTATCGGGCTCCAATGAGTCATTGTCTGGCTATGGTTGACAAATAACTACATGCAAGTGAATCACAGTTCTCCGTTTGGCTAGGCTTATCACTAGCCTTTAGCAAGGTGACTCAATGTAATCGTATCAACCTGTAATTGTGAGCTGCTATCTGCAGGTTTTAATGGCAGTCCATGTGAGCAATGTATTTATGCGTCATGTAGCTATCTGGCGAGGCCCCACTTATGCCTGCTTAGTTCTGCTAGGTATGCAGCATTGTCATTTGGCTTTGTAATCTGAATGTTGATAACTATCTGTTCACTGCATTTGAAGCTTAATGCCTGAAACAGACTCTTTTCGCAGTCAGGAAATCGCATGCGAGAGGCTATCTATTCAAATACATGGAAGCACACTCGCATCAATCGCACGCACCTCCCGCAAGCGATTGATGCGTGAAGAATTATAATCTATTTGATTGAATAGGCTCTCGCATGTGAGTTCCTGAACGCGGAAAGAGTCTGTTTCAGCCTTTACAGTCCTTCAAATTGCACAAGGCATGAATTCTTGTATATCGCGATGCAGCTAGCCTCCCGCCTCCGACATCCTTTCCCGCTAGCTCTAGCACACCCTCTCCCTCGTGACTCACTCGCATCTGGCTCCTCCAGGGCGGTGACTTCACCAAACACAACGGAACCGGAGGCAAATCCATCTACGGCAACAAGTTCGAGGACGAGAACTTCATCCTGAAGCACACCGGCCCCGGCATTCTGTCCATGGCTAACGCCGGTTAGTAGCGCCGCTGTATTTGTATTGTATTTGTATTGGTATTTACATTTAAGGGCGATCATGTACAAAATGTGTGGTGATTACTGCTGTCTGTCTGTCTGTCTGTCTGTCTGTCTATCTCCGTTTCTCTCTCTCTCTCTCTCTCTCTCTCTCTCTCTCTCTCTCTCTCTCTCTCTCTCTCTCTCTCTCTCTCTCTCTCTCTCTCTCTCTCTCTCTCTCTCTCTCTCTCTCTCTCGACATCCAAACGAACATAATTTTGCACTCACCTCCAATTTTGAGAGCAATTTCCCACTCCCAATTGTACTGAGAAAAGCATTTATGTGGATGGTTATCTCTCCTTCTGTTTTTACCTCATTTGTATAGAAATTCATGCCACTTCCATCCTCCCTTTTGGAGAGTAAGTTCTCTGACACTCAAACCAAAATACAACTTTTGGACGCTACTCCGTGTCACCAAAAACATTTTCCCCACACACCATCTCACCCCGACCCCCCCCTCTCTCTCTCTCTCTCTCTCTCTCTCTCTCTCTCTCTCTCTCTCACCCCGACCCCTCTCTCTCTCTCACACCCCGACCCCCTCTCTCTCTGTGTACAGGTCCCAACACCAATGGCAGCCAGTTTTTCCTCTGTACGGTTAAGACCACCTGGCTAGATGGAAAGCACGTGGTATTCGGACAGGTTACCGATGGCATGGATGTTGTGAAGAAAATCGAAGGTTTCGGTGAGTTCTTGGAGAGTTCGGGAGGGGGGGGTTGAGAGATCTAGAGAGTTCGGGGGGGGGGGGTGAAGGGGAATGATAGATTTGGAGACTAGAGACTTGGACTTTGGAGGGGGGGGGGGGGGTCAAGTGGAGGGATAGAGATTTTCGATGAGTTCGGGGAGAGATATGGCGATTAAGAGCTTTGGTAGGGGTTGGGAAATGGGTGATGGAGGATAGGGTTCGGGGATTGAGATATTTGAATGGGTTAAGGCTGGAGGCGCGGGGTGGGGATATAAGATTTAGGACTTAATGATGTGTGAAGGAAATTCATAACTTTAGACGTGGGTCGTAGTGTAGCGGATCTAAAGCTCGAGATATCGGCAACTTATCAGTTTTATTGAGTTCAATGTGCAATGATGCTTTTTATAGACCATACACAATGCACATGCTTTAGTTAGGTGTGATTTCGTTGAAATACGACGTGCTCGTATTTTATCAAAGATTGTTTTATTCGGGTTCTGTTAAATTTCTCGATCATTTATTTTTCTTGCACACTACTTTCTCATCGGCACTCAGGTCAACCATAGGTATCTGATGTTTGACATCCCATCAGTCACCTGGTTATTACACCTGTGTACGCTTACACTCACTTTGGGCACATAACGACTCCGCTTTCGACTCGCCCTAAAACCCCAGTAAGTGTTCTTACACTCGTTTTGTCTTTTTGCAGGCACCCAGAGCGGAAAGCCGACCAAGAAGATTCTGATTGACAAGAGTGGTCAGCTGTGAGTCTGAGTCTGCACTGAAACCCGGCCGTCAAGTGCTAGGTCTGCGCTGAGGGCCGGCATTGCAGTGCTGGGTTTGCGCTGAGGCCCTGCTTCTTGGAGCTGAGTCTGTACTGAAAGCCGGCTTTGCAGTGCTAGGTCTGCGCTGAAAGCCGGTTTATCGATGCTGATTCTGCTCTGAATACCGGCCATCAGCGCCTGCCACTGCGCTGAATACCGGCCTTCAGCGTTCACCACTGCACTGAATTCCGGCCTCGCTGACCGCAATGCTTGAGGTCCCACTCGGTCCAACCCTATTATACAGGCATTCCCGCTTTGGGTTCTTCGTCCCCCTTCCCTTTCTCGGGGTTGGGACTGCGGCATGTTCACTTTCTGAACTGCGTATCGCTTGGAGTGACGCCGTCAGTGGGGTTTTGTGGAAGTTAACCGAAACTGTACTCACATGTGTTAATACATTGGTAGAGACTGGTATTATTTTAGGTGTCTCTGGGGAAGGAGTTGGACGCCGAAGGATGGGAAATGCTTTACGCCTGCTGTCTTTGGTATGGACCGAACCCACTTACAGTTTTTAGGAAGTCGAGTACGAGGAGAGGTTAGGCCCAATTTATTTTTTAGGGGTTATACGAGGTGGGATGGTGTAATACTGATACGAAACACGATCATTATGAATTCAGGACTGACGTGGTGTTCGTGGTCTGTAATTTTCCCATTCAGCGCCAGGGTTTCCTTCGTTATTCTTTGGGCAGCAATGATCGGGCTACTGACCAGTAATTGCATTCCGTATTCACACCTAATTTATTTTCACGCCGTCAACCAATGTCAAATTACCGGTGTGGTAAGCCTGTGTGCAAGTTGAACGGAAGGAGAATAGTGTGCTTAGTGACACTGACTAGTGTACTTTGGTTTCCAAAATGCCACCAAGTACACAAAGAAGTGATTTTTTTTTTCACATGGACGAGCTGTTCACGGCGCACGGCACGGTACGCCACGAGCTGTTTTGACGTAACGCACTTCCGTTTTGACAATCTCATCTGTAATACGTCTCGCTCGGCCTGCCCACGTGATCCCCCCCCCCTCGGCTGACGCAATTAACCTGACTGCTGTCGACAGCTACTGACAGCCATCAATACCTGTTGACGAATACGGGACTCGTGATTGACTTGTTGTGACGACGCCCTCCGAGCGTTACGGCCCTCACAGCCACACCGAGCGACGCCAGCGTCACTTCGACCTCCGCCGTCATTCTCACCTCATAGCCTCATTACTGGTGTTGCCTGTTCACACCAAATCATTCTTTCACCCACCGTCATGTCTAACGTCGGCCGTTTCATCCCCGCCCTTCTTATCATTCTCCCTCTTGTGCCTTCATTCGTGTCCACCTCTCCATTGGAGCTGACTCCTACCATCCAAGACACCAGCGGTGGAAGGGGTGGAAGTGCCGTCGAAGCCGCTCCTGCCGAAGAACCTGTGCAAGAACCTGTTGAAACTCGTGCATTAGAGCCTGCGGGCTCCTCCACTGACTCTTCCACCACCGACTTATCCAGTCTCTCTGGTTCTAAAGCAGAAGCCGTCGATCCCTGCTCTCTACCCAAGGAGGTGGGGTGGGGCCGTGCTGCTTCGCGTCGCTACTTCTTCAACAAGTCCAGTGGCCGATGTGAGGAGTTTGTCTTTGGGGGCATGTGTGGTAACGCCAACAACTTCGAGACGCGCAAGGATTGTGAGCGACTCTGCCGACTCAAAGCGCGCTAGGATGAATAGGTAGAGAGGAAGAGGCTGTCGATTCGTTCCTCGCTATGAACTTATGAAGTAATGAAGAGAAGGAGCTGTTTGCTTGTTTCACGTATAAAGGACAGAAAGGAAAACGTAAACCAGTCGGAAGTGCGTTCGAAGGAAGAAACAAGGAGCATGTATCATTCAGGATACCGTCGGAATAATGCGAAGACGCCTGCGGCAAAATGTTGTGACGATAGTGAGGCAAAGCGTACGAGCGAGTGATGGAAAAAAAGCAAAGGGGGAGATCAGAGAAGGCCGGTACGTCGTATGAACCATAGCGAGAGAAAGATGAGGTTATTGTCGGTGACTATAGGAGAAAAACGATCGCAAGGTGGCGACTGATTGATAAAGAAACTGTGTCTGTGACGGTGACGACAAAAAGGCTTATTTCGCGATAGACTGAACGATATGAAAGGATGGAGTGCTGCTACTTGTTACCGTTCCTGAAAATGGAGCTGCAAACTGCGCTATCGGGACGGTGAGACAATGTGAGTGCGCATATCGCGACTATGTGAAGCAGGCACAATGTTACCATCTACGACATGAAAAGATAGTTTATTTTGAGCTAATGTTCCCGGTGTAACAAAATGCGGCGTGCGATTGGCATAAAATCAGACGTGCCATTCACAAAAAAAGACTAAATGAATACTTATCCCGATGAGACAATTGAATAGGAATTAGTAGCTACTTAGCTTGGACGTCAAGCCCCTTGAGACCCCACTTTTTTGCGATAATTTTTAAATGCGTGAACTCTGATTGACGATATTCTGGCAATGTGTGTTTCAGAACCTGCCGAAACTTTTATTACTGAGGTATTTTGACGCCAAACGATTATGAAAGGTACTTCTCATTCACTCGTAATGCTAACGTCAATTCAGGCCCGGGCAGAGGCTTGCGTTCGGCCACACTCGAGCCCCGCCACCAGCGCCATCTGCTCTTAATGTCATCTACTAGCGCCCGCTACCGCTACCAGCTACCGCCCACCATCAAGCCTGGATGGAGCGCGAGACGCGAGTGACCGGACGCCGGGCAAGGAGCGCCGGAGGGGTAGGGCGGAGACTAGCGCTGACGTCATTACGTGGCTCCGCCTCATGAGCGCGTAGCCTCTACCCAAACAGCAGATTCGTTCCGTGAAATTTAACATTACGAGTGAATGAGAAGTACCTTTCATAATCGTTTGGCGTCAAAATACCTTAGTAATAAAAGTTTCGGCAGGTTCTGAAACACACATTGCCAGAATATCGTCAACGAGAGCTAACGCATTTAAAAATTATCGCAAAAAAGTGGGGTCTCAAGGGGTTTGACGTCCATAGTAGCTTGCTATCGGCATTAATTTGAGATCTTAGGATCTATGTGGTAAATAAGCAGGATCGGGTTGGCACGATGGCAGTAAGGGGTCCTCAAGGTGTTGGGCATTATACTAGTAGGTATGCATTCATTCTGCTGTCTAATAAACGATCTAACGGGCCACCGTGTTTCGTGACGAGTTTGACGCATGTGGTAGGCATATCAGCACTGGTATAATTACAAGTATGCACATAATCACCGTTATAATGTTGAGCTAGAATGCTGAACACAAATTGTCCGGAGCTATTCAGTACCTATTGCTTTGTGTAACATCCCTGCCTTACGCTCATTGGTCGTTCGCTGGCTCGCGAAAAGCATCTGCAGGCGTGATAAACCCGAAAGACAGCAGAACTTCATACCTACGCTATATTTTCGTACCAAAGATAGATTCGAGCCACAAGCGACAGTCATAAGATAAGCCGCTGCCGCCTAGCATACACCAAAAGACTGCTTCAGCGTTGCGAACGATAGTATAACACACCGTATCAGATCAAATTGGACGGATTTGATAGCTGCAAGTGCAGCTTTAACAGCACTCATAAACGTGACAATGTTGCGATAGCCTCTCACAAAAACGCATCTATGTATAACACTTCGTCAGGTGGCGCGGGGGGAGGGGGTCTGAAGAAACACCAGTCTTCGGTCTACCTCCTAGTTATGACGAAAAGTACCACTGGGGGCAAGATGACCTAACGTTGCCTATACTTGACATGCGTTCGGAAACGTATTTAACGGCATCCGGATCCAGGTCCCGGATTCGTATCCATATCTGAATCCAAACAACATGACTATGGACAATCCACCAAATACGAACTGTTTGGTCTGACATCACTTCGCTGTAATGCCTATGAAATACAACATACGTAAACTATCAGAAAGAAGTAATGACAAAAGGACACCTTATCCCTATTGGTGTAAATAGTACTACGCGAAAAAGAAATATGATTGTTGAGATAATACAAAAACAGGAAATACGAGTAGAAAAACGTCAATAAAAAACGACACCAATTCAAGTTCACTTCTGTGTTCAGGATGACTAAAAGTGAACCATTTCCGCCGTTGTATGCATCGTTTACCCAACAGGTGACTCTGAATGACGTCATAGTTCATACTTCATTGTGACGTCACGGTACGGACGTTTGAGTTTCAGTTCTGTGGGCACGTCCTATTCACTAGTGTGAGATATTCATAGCCCTGACACCGATTATCTTATGACGTCATAATTCGGCACTAACCACACCACAATTCAATGCAACCAATTCCCCATCACCACGGCCATCGGTGACGTCATCCACATACTGACGCCACCGATCGAGTCCCTCAATGACGTCATCATAGCTCAGTGTGACGGCTGAGTATCTTATCCTCCAGCATCACCTGTAGCTTTTCCACGTGCCTCTCCTGATCCTTGATCTTCCGATCGAATACCTTACGTCCCTCTGGCGGCAAAAATAGAAACAAACACGTCAAACGACGAATTGCTCGACTGTTTGGAACAGCTTCAAAAAATGTGCAGATCGTTTGTTAAAAAAGCGTGAATAGAGGAACATTTCAACCGGTTAAGGTTGCTTTTAAAGATACGTAGCTTACTGTGGGAACAAGGTCACATGGGACTTTTTCCACCAATGGCGTTACAAGAGGCACACTCTGCGTCAGTTTCACTGAGGCAGAACAAAAGCACGAACCACCTTCAAAATAACAGGTTGCTACCTCTAGAGCTCACGTGGATCCCGTGTCCCTAACATTAGATCATTCACTAAGATTTATGCAGGGAAGATATCTTATCTCGAAATGACTGTTAGCACCATAAAGCGTCGATTCCACCATTAGTGGCCATTGTAAATAACACACGCTATCATAATCTCATAAGACGTGGTGAAAACACTGCCCAAGATTCGAACGTAAGTAACTCAAATAACCAGTATAACGCCTTTTGGGGCGACTAACGGAGCGAGCGAGAGGGTGGGCCTTGCACGTGCGAAATTGCGAGGGGGGTACCTCCAACTGACTTGTGCACGGCACCCTACTAATCGGTCTCTAGCGATGTGCCAAATTTGGGCACAATCGGCCCAGCCGTTCTCGAGATCTGGAAGCGGCACCCTGCACGTGCGCACGTGCAAAATGGGTCCCAACTGACTTGCGCACGGCACCCTACTAACCGGTCCCTAACTGTGTACCAAATTTGAGCGCAATCGGTGGAGCCGTTCTCGAGATCTGGAAACGACCCCTGCACGTGCGCACGTGCAGCAGCGCCCCAACTCTGGCACATGGATATGCAGTGCCTAGTGGGTGCCTACCTACATGCCAACTTTCAGCGCAATCGGCCAAGTAGTTACCGAGATATTGCAACATTTAGAAAACGGACTCCTCTTCGTTTTGCACGTGGCACGTGCATAAGGGGTCACCCACATGCATCGGGAATAGTCCAATACTTGGTAGAAGGAATGAAGCTACCCTACAAAAATTGCCGCGTGTAAATCGGTCAAGTGGTTGCTGAGATATAAGCCTCGCAAAAGCGTGACCACGGCCGGCCGGCCGGCCGCTCATACTCAGAAATTTCCGTTAATCTAAGGAAAGACTACGCTCGCTTCGCTCGCTCCGTAATAAACCCGTCATCAAATGTCAAACACAAGGTAAGTACTGACTGGACACTAGCTAAACCTGCTTGGACAACGGGACTTAAGTAAGAAATGGAGGTAATGATAGGTATAATAAACATCATCAAGAACAAAGGTCCGAGTCTCAAAACAAAACATTACATTAACGAGAAATAATAAAGAAATGACTTCACTCCCAGACTGAATTAGACCCTGATCTCTATGTACGTACCATCAATTGACATTGTCCACTGAACTGAACAGATCAACTTATGATGGTACAATTACGCACACTTTGTGATAACCGATACATCAATATAGTCCGATTTTCAAGCCAGTCTGATCGCTTACAGTGCAAAAATAAGTACCGCACGAGTCGAGCCATTGCAATGAATAGAGAGTCAAAATAAAAAATCAAGATTAAAATGAAATTTTCCGCTGGCTGGTGTTACATGTATGGAGGTATCATGTGGGCTTTACATTAGAACGCTTTCAGCAACTAGACATGCTTAAAAATTGGACCATAATCCGGCCCGGAGCGGCCCCCACCAGTCGGCACCAGTTCCATCGGGTACATACCAGTTTTATCCGGTAAATCGTCGTCGTCGGTGTGCCGATGACTTCCATCTTTGGACAGCATGTCCATCTGAACGTGCCTCAGTTTCTGCAGTCGCTGCTCGTAATGTTTCAGCTCCGTCTGAGGGGGAGGGTGCATCAATGTCAGCGACTAACGTTATCGATAATTTCGGTAACACGATCTGGACATGATAGCTTTTAAAAGAGAACTTCGCCAGCATTTGCTGCAGCAACAAAGGAGCGATCGTTAGCGGGCCTACTCTCTGTGACGGCACTTATGTAATAGTGTGGGTGTGAGATTGGTGGGGGAACGAGGGCGTATGCATGTATGAATGTTATGTACCTATGTGTGTCACCCTGACAACCACCATTCTATTATTCGACGCTGGCACTAGAATAGCCACACAAGTGTGAAGTGAGCTAATGATGTGAATAAATAAATAAATTAATAACACGATCAATGATCATACAAGAGAGTGAGACGCGAGATCACCATACATAAGCAACTAAATGCTATCAGGAACGGATTTCCCTATTCGCTCAGCAATGATTATGATTCGTATGTAATACGAATCTACATAGTCTGCTCACGTATCCCTGGCTCCTCGGTCACTAATCATAGAAAGACAGACATACCGTAAGATAAGACAGCGAAGCAGAGTACAGACTACAGAATCAGACACAGACAACAAGCAGACGGAAATTGACCTACAATTAACACAATGATTACGGAGCGAGCGAAGCGAGCGTAGCCTTTCCTTAGATTAACGGAAATTTCTAAGTATGAGCGGCCGGCCGTGCGGACGCTTTTGCGAGGCTTATATCTCAGCAACCACTTGACCGATTTACACGCGGTAATTTTTGTAGGGTAGCTTCATTCCTTCTACCAAGTATTGGACTATTCCCGGTGCATGTGGGTGACCCCTTATGCACGTGCCACGTGCAAAACGAAGAGGTGTCAGTTTTGTAATTGTTGCAATATCCGGTAACTACTTGGCCGATTGCGCTGAAAGTTGGCATGTAGGTAGGCACCCACTAGGCACTTCATATCCAGGTGCCAGAGTTGGGGTGCTGCTGCACGTGCGCACGTGCAGGGGTCGTTTCCAGATCTCGAGAACGGCTCGACCGATTGCGCTCAAATTTGGTACACAGTTAGGGACCGGTTAGTAGGGCGCCGTGCAAAAATCAATCGGGACCCATTTTGCACGTGCACGTGCAGGGTGCCGCTCCCAGATCTCGAGAACGGTGGGCCGATTGTGCCAAATTGGCACATCGCTAGAGACCGGTCAGTAGGGTGCCGTGCAAAGTCAGTTAGAGGATCCCCTCGAAATTTCGCAGTGGAAGGCTCACTCTCTCGCTCGCTCCGTTAGTCGC